TCTGCCCCCCCCCCCCCAAAGAAAAAAAAACAAAAGATACCATAATTAACTCATTACAAGTACCTTGAATCCTTCCAAACAGCATTAACTTCAAGATGAGGTATGACCAATGTTGCATTCAGAATTCGGGCAACAGCAACTGCATCACAGATCTTTCACATGGTGTGGGGGGAGGGGGCCAAATTATCATACAGCTAAAGAAAGCCTAAAGTATAAAATGGCATTGAATTGGAATGGTTTTACATAATTGGGAAGATGGTGATGATAAAATAATAAAGAGTAAAATTTATATACCCCCATTCTTTGCTGATTTAATCCTCCATCTAAGAACACTTGGATGTAACCTTGAGATTTTCTTGGTGATACTGCAGGGTATCAGATGCGTGTATATGAGGACGGAGCCATATCTAAGTGCAGAAGCAGAGAGCTGTGAAGAATTCTACTAAATAAAACAATGTGATAAGCTAGGAAAAAGAAGTACTAGAGCTCAAAATTTAGCCCTAAAATCGTAGTACTCACATTCCGCTTTTGTAGGCTTCAGACAAGGTTTCCAGCCTTGATTTGGCAATGGAGACCAGATCTCTCTCTGGTCCTCTAATGCCTGAAATGCCAAACACAGAACTGGTTGTAAGAAAAACCGTAAACAAGACAAGTTCACTAAATTAGGCTAGGCCATGTTTGATAACAATTTGAACTCCGTTTGATAATCATTTAGTTTTCGATTCTTGGTTTTTGAAAATTGTGTTTGTTCTTTTCACTATTCTTCAACATAAATTTCATCTTGACTAAGGAATCATCTGAATTCATAAGCAAATTCCAAAAACAAAAATGAATTTCAAAAACTACTTAGTTTCCTTACCTTCTCAAAGAAACATTAGAATTCTTAGTCAAATTTCAGATAAAAAAATATTTTCTTTAGTTTTCAAAAACATTAAAAACAAAAAAATGTAAATGGAAGATCAAGCACATCAATTGATTATTAAAACATTAGTAGAAAATATTAGTAGCAATTGTATAACAAACAAACAAAAAAACTTATAAATGTAAATTGTGTTTACATGCTTCAAAAACAAAAAAATCAATTGATTATTAAACATGTCTTAATATTCTAATTCTAAAAAATGGAAGATCAAGCACATCAAGGATTACTAACCGTGATATGATGCAAAGCACTGTTTAGCAAAGTCAGGTGCCTTGGTCTTGGAGAAATCCACTCCTGTTACATAAAAGAACATCAAATATTTATAGAAATTAATTAACCCTACGCAAAACCGTCAATCTCTACCTCCGGGGAAATTAGTACGTAAGACGAGGTTTTCATCAATGGATGTAGAGAGAAGTGACTCGAATTTATATTCAGTAATTATTGACATGCATATTATTTGAATCCACGTCCAATAGTTACTATGAGATAGCAACAAGTAGAAGAAAAGAAAGAGGAAAAAGAAAGACTAAACAAAAGGAAAGTGCGTAGAAACTGATTTTCCAACCAAAAATTGGAGAGAGTACCTAAAAAGAAATAGGATTAGAAATTAAAAGTTCTTTTACTTCATTTTAGCACTGCAATCAAAACAAATCAATGTGAACATATTTGACGAAGAATTTCAGAACCTTCGTCCTAAGAGACAGTCCAGTTAAACTATCTGCTGAATTCGTATATCAAAGGAAGAAACAGTAACTCAATACAGAGAAAATCCTAGTACAATTAGGGCAAGCAAGCAACGGATCATTATCATTTCCAGTTCAAAATAACAGAAATTGTTCATGAAACCTAGGGAACAGAATAGAAATGGATCAAGAACGTACAGAGAATAAGGAAGGCGAAGCGCGACCCAAGGGATCGAAGAGACGGGGGAAAATAATAGGAAAGAGAACAAGAAAAACGCCAGCAAGAGCCGCCCTCTGGGATTGGTTCCGATGGCTGTAGTAGTGGAGCTCCATTGATGCTTTCTTGGAGATCACAGATAGGACACTGGATTTTGATCTTGAAGGTGAAGACTAGGAGAGTTGGGCGAGCGAGAACAGTTTTTTCTGTTTTCCGTAAACGGGGTGATGAGTGATGCCGATGCTGATAGCTAATTCTCCACTGAATTTTGGTATTTTTGAGAAACTATAATAAATAAATAAATAACGTTGCCACTTTATTTTTTGAAAATTAAACACTACTTCTACCCAACACTTCAATTCTGAAAACTATAAATAAAAATAATACTAATAAATAAATCAATTTTTTTTATTTTTAGAATTTAACTAGAAAACTAAATATTTCTTTAACAAAAATCAAAAGCATAATTAAAAATAATATAAAAAATTAAATCAGAAAAATAATCAGGTTTGATAGCTATTTAAAGTTATAATTTACATCTTTAAATTGAAACTTATAAATAAATACTAATTTACCTATAAATTTCTTCGACTTGTTATTTAGTTTCTACCAATTTTTTTGAAAAATAAATTCTCATTAATCATTTGTAAATTTGTTTGTTTGTTTTTTTTTTGTTTTTTTTTTTTTTTTGGAATCAAAGGAGATATATTTTTAAGAACCTATTTTTATCTATATAATTTGATTAAGAATTGAAATAATTTTTTTTAAGAAATATGAAAATTATTATAAGAAAATTGGGAGAAAAAAAATACAAAACCAGTAAACTAAAAACTAAAAATCAAAACCATTAATTTNTTTTTTTTTTTTTTTTTTTTTTTTTTTTTTTTTTTTTTGGAATCAAAGGAGATATATTTTTAAGAACCTATTTTTATCTATATAATTTGATTAAGAATTGAAATAATTTTTTTTAAGAAATATGAAAATTATTATAAGAAAATTGGGAGAAAAAAAATACAAAACCAGTAAACTAAAAACTAAAAATCAAAACCATTAATTTTTAAAAAACAATTGATTATCAACGAATTTATTTTTAAATTATTGGTTCAGCTCGAGGGGATTTTTTTCTCCAATCATACAATGTCCGAATTTATTTATTTTAAAAAATAAATAAAAATAAAAGAGGGAAAATTAGGAGTGGAAGCAACAACGTAATCTTGGAGCTGGAGAGGAATTAAAACTAATCCTTGATATAACTAACAAGAACATGGCTACATCAATGTAACCCAAATGAATTTTCTATCGGTATTAATTAAGTTGATATGGAGCCATAACAATATTAACAGCATGGCAAGCCAAACACTAATGACATGATCATTTACAAATATAGAGGAAAGAAGAGACCAACCTTTCGTCTATATGTCTGCACCATCCGACAAACCTTCTCCGACACTGTTACTCGTTTCTTCGGGGTATGGTGAATGCCTTGGTTTCTTGGCAGGGGGTTCCTCGTCTAAGTTCACCTCTGTAATCGAAACAACCACTGGCGAATCATCGTGTTCGACATCTGTTTTGGTTGCTTCATCTAGACATGGTGATGCAACGAGAGTGTCGTCTTCACACAGGGGTTCGGAATCGTTACTTCCCATGTTAGTATCTTGAGAGATGACAATGGTATCGACATCTTGCACCGTGGTAGCAGAAGAAGAAGGGCATTCTGTTACAGGTTCTAGATTCTCCTTCTCATGCGATAGAGGTCTTTTCCTGTTCCTTTCTTCCTTGTTACCAGGACTTGCTTCCCTAACATCGCAACTTTCGATGATTCCCACATCTTCCAAGTCCTCTGCCGAGGACGAGGCAATGCCCCGACCACGTTCTGGTTGAATAGACATGCACAAGTCAAAAGAAGCCTTGGATTCAAGGCCAATCGAGGAACATGGAAATCGACAAGCTTGAGATGCCATTGCATCAATTGGCTGCAAACCGTCCTGTACCGGAGGCAAGAAGATGAAACGGTCTCCAGTTTCTGCATCTGCGTCATCCTATAGTGAGAGAATTTTATACCATCAGAGCAGGCAACATACTTGCAATTGTTCTCTACTGGAGGGTTTGAAACTGGTATCATCTAGAACTAACGTGCAAGAGTTGCTTGAAGGTGGTAAGGAAATATTTTTTGTCCATCATCAAGGTCCATACATTATTTCTTTTATAAATAGCCGAACTTTCCTTAAAAAATATATGAAAGAATACAGACTTTCAAAAAATTCATAAAAGAGAGAAGCCACTAAATAAAGAGCCTCAATCAAGCAAAATAATAATGCATGATCATACATTATTACCAAGCATAGTTGGTGTGTGTATATATAATATGTATATATGGATAAGTATGTGTATGTACGTATGTACGTATATATGTGTACGTATATCTATGTGTATGCGTATGTACGTGTGTGAATATATATAAATATATTTTTTTTTTGTGTGTGTGTATATCTATGTATGTATGTGCATGCATACGTGTGTGCGCGCGAGCATGTATATATAGGTATATATATATATATATATATATATAGAGAGAGAGAGAGAGAGAGAGGTATGTACGTATATGTATGAATATATACTTTGCCTGTGTGAAGAAACACACAAACTAAATGTGCAAGAGACTGCGTTAATTTGCTTCTTTAATTGTTTGACTATAAATTAAATTCAACGAGCTCCTGCTTATTTAACATAAGGTAATGCTCCCAATTTTCTTAGATAATTTGAGAAGCTAACATACCTCCAGCACAGTAGCATTTGTATCGAAATACGATGATGTCTGGGCAAAAGATTGATAGTCTCCAAGTAATGACCCATTAGAGGCACCTGGTTCAAATAATTCTCTGACAACCAAGCCAGAACCGTCAATAAAGTGGCTGGGTCTACTCGAAGATTCAGATAATAGAGTAATTTCAATCCCATCAACAGCTTGTGAGCTTGACAAATTGTGATTGCATGCCACTGCTGGGCTTCCTCTTTCCAGAAGAAGCTCCACGCCAGTTTCATCCTCATTATTGGATGGAAATTTAGATAAAAGTTCATCACTACATGCAGCTGTGGACATTTCTCGAGACCGGTTTTCAAGGATTTCAAAAATTAATCTCTGTATTAAAGTTCGCTTGAGGTAAGCCTCAGCAGGTGGGAACCAATCCACATTAAGCTGGAGAGATTCATTAAAAACACAATCACATTATCAACGCCCAATTCAAAAAATAAAAGCAAATCCAAGGAATATTAACCAAGTTTTATGCAAAAACTCCGACAGACTACACACACACACACACACACATGAGATTCAGAATAAACTTCAAAACCATCGTCTTCTTTTTTTTTCTTTTTTTTTTTTACAAAGAAACAATAAGGATAAACAAGTGTTAAAATTTATCTCAAGTCTCAAACTGTGACACATGTCAATTGACCAACTTAGGACAAGTCATATGAACAGTGAATATGCCGTGTAAAGTTGATCTGAGAGTCATTAATGCTTTCAATGAGGGGGGTATAAGAGACTGTACAACACATGGCATTTCAAACTGCTAGGTCAATTAACAAAACAAAAGATCCCACACCTCTCAAGGAAAAGTAAAAGATCTTTTGCAGGATGAAGAGTGAATATTGGATACATGTGGAAAAAGGTTTCGATGCTGATGCACAATCTAATTTGGGAAGGGACTTGGTCGAGAAGAAATGAAATGAACATGAGAACAAGACTTCATTGGACAGCATCAATAGAGAAAATAAAAGGAAGAAAATTAAGCATTATAAATTAGAGATAAACCATAAGAAATATAACCTCAATCTCAGGAATCTTTTCTGCAACTCACAAAAATTATTGAGAACACTCTGCAAGTGTTTTATCAATTTAGATTGGAGGCACTTTCTTTTAGACTCTCCAGTTTAGGCTCTCATCGCATAGGCCTTTAGGCTGTGTTCTCTTTTGTTGATAATTGTCACTTAAAAAAATGATTGAGAAGGCTATTTTGTTACTAGTATTGGTCTTTTGCAAGAAAAAAAAAATTATTAGGTTGAGGCAGTTAACTAGGGACTTTATTATATTTAACAATTGCAACAGTCGAAACTCTCCAAAAAAAATAAATAAAAATAAATAAATAAATAAAAACTAAGGGTGCAAGCAAAGCGAAAAACTTACAAATTTTGAAAGCTTGAAGATTTTGAACGGGCTGAAATTAAGAGGCGCTTCTGCCAGAAAAAGTTCTAGATAGTGGAGCAAAAATAATCCGCAATCAAATGAATTTTCCTGCTGCGGAAGCTGACATGAAAAATGTAGGACATGTAAGACAGCCCCCCAAAAAAGGAAAGAAAAAAAAGAAATGAACGTAGGCCACAACAATATCAAACATGATGCGTTAGCAATAAAGGAACCAGTTGAGTTTGTTTGGGTTCCATTTGACTCGAGGCAGGATTAGTGGCACTATGATTGAGGAAGTGCACCATAATTCCCCATTTCGGAATAAGGTCAGATTAGTGGCGCTATTATTGTAGTCATGGGAAATTTGAATTGGAGAGAAATAGTAAAACTTCTAGAGAAGTTGAGAGATCACGGGAGGAGGTTCAGGAGGTTGCAAGGTTTAATGTGTTTTCATGGGCGTCTGTTATTCGACCTTTTTGTAATTATGAACTTGGTTTGATTTTTTAGTGGACTCCTTTTTTGTGCGCTTGTTTCGATATAATGAAGTTAAGTGCCAGAAAATACCTCAAGTTGGAGAAACCGAAGGTTCTTAAATTTTGTTGAAATATCTTCAGGTGTCTCCTTGTTTCTCTCTTTCCATTCTTCCAGCAAATAACTGTCATACATTGCATCATGAAGTCCCAGTGATTAAGAAAGAACTAGCAAAAAAAAATCAATACTATAAATGCAGATAAGTTCAAAGAAATAATTGGAGGCAGCTAATTTTATAATCCATAATGGAAACAAAATGCAAAAAGTAGAAACGGCCAAAAGAAAGTATCAGCAAATTACTATAAAACCTTTTTTATGAGATAGGAAACTACCTTCATAACAGAGACAGCGGAATGCATACAAGGATAAGATTTCAACTAAAAGATTTAATGTGTTTGCTTGGGATGACTCATGATGTGGAAACACTCCCTTGACTCTACAGAGTGGCTCCTCCAAAGGCTATCAATGTTGGAAATAGGACTCCACCACTTGGTACATCTTGATGAGAAGGAATCTCACTGATAAGGAAGCAAATGAATTGGCATTTTTGCTTCAAGCTTTGAACAACATGAGACTTAATCACATGGAGGATATCAAGGTTCAGTCACGATCGAAAAATGGGGTTTTTCAGTCAGCTCAACCATTATTGCTCTTTCAGAAACATAAAATCTTCAACCTTGATCTGAATACAGTGTTAAGGGAAGTCAAAATCCCCCCAAAAAGTTGAAGAGTGTTCTTATGAATCTGTTAGAAATGCTATTAGGATATTGAGGATATATTAGTAATTAAAGAGGAGGTGGTTATGGAGATTGGTTATAATAGATGGAGTGAGGAGGGAGAGAGTTGGGCATTACTTGGTAGTGATCAAGAGGGAGTGTGCAAGTACCTCGAGAATTACTTCTTTATGTTGTAATTTATTTGGATATTGCAGTATAGTTATCCTTGGTATTTTCACATAATTTCTGAGTTCCTAACAGGAACCTAATCCAAGGCAAGCTTAACACAAATGAGCTTCAAAGAAGACTTTCAAGTTTCTTCATCTCCTCTGATTGGAGTGTTCTTTGCAAATCGGACTCAGAAAGCCAGACTCACATTTTCGTCCACTGCTCTATAGCTTATGATTGTTGACTAATCAGCTCTCAGTTGTTGGTCGAGCTGGTGCTTTCCTAAGCCTCCTGTTTGCTTAGTCAACCAGCTTTGTATTGGTAACAGTTTTAAGGGCCGTTCTAAAATTCTTTGGACTAATGCAGTTAGCTCGGTACTGTGGTGTGTCTGGTCAGATAGGAATCACAGAATTTTTTAGGGGTCGGAATCTATTACTGCTAGTTTATGGAACCTTATTTGCCTCCACGATGTCAGTCACAATTTCCTTCTAATTATGTTTTAATTCACATCCATGCCGAAGGAGAGGTTGTTTTGCAACCCCTTGGCTTCATGGGGATATCTCATTTCCCTTCTCTTGTATATGCCTCTTTGATCAATATATTTCAGTTTCTTATAAAAGAAAAAAGTAACAATAAATACTCCAAAGTTTCTTTGAGTCCACACTCCGACACATTTCCTTTACAAAGACTCTCTCATAGGACTCTTCCTTTTCTTTTGAATGGTTGACCAAGAAGAAAGTTGTTCTAGAGTCGTCATGGTTGTGTAAAAGCGGGTAAATGGTTATCTAGCAAAAGAGAATAGACATTTCTGCGAAGGAGCAGGAAGGAAAAGATGATCAAGGCTTTCCTTGCTTTACAGAGAAACGAAACTAGGTGACAAAGTTCTACTCTAATTTTTCCTCTTCAATAAATTTTGGCTTTATTAAAAGAATAAGAGAGAACAAAAATCAACTGCATACATAACCAAGCTAAAACAACACTGCAACGCAAAGTCTCTCTCCTGATACACTTTGTAAAGACAAATCCTCCTCCGATTCAAAATTATGTTACATTTTTCTTTATAAAAGTGACAACCACTTCATTCCAAAAAAAAACCAACTCTAACAACCTAAGGGACAAGGTGTCCTCCCCTTCACTTACAAAGAGAGGTTCCACGAATCCCAAGATACAAAACTATACTACTAAAATAACAAAAAAAAAAATTAATAAAATATTTAGTCCTAAACTTTGATGTTTGTGTCTATGTGGACTCTAATCTATCAAAATTACAAATTTAGACTTTGAGCTTACAAATTTTTTTAAATTCACAAATCTACTAGACACAAAACTAAAAGTTTATGATTTTATTAGCCATCAAATTTAAATTTGTGTATAATAAATCAATTAATTTTTCAAATCCTCAAACTTTTCAGTGATTCATGAGATACAAAATTGAAAATTTAGGATCTATAAGACAGTTTTAAAAGTTTAGTTCAAGGATTAAGCTAGTAATTTAACCCAAAAAAAGTAATAAAGCAACAAGAAAAATTGTATTACAACAGCCAAAAGATTTTTTTAAAAAAAAAGGCCAACAAAAAAGTTACTAATCAGAAGATGAAAAGAGATGAGTTGCAATTGCAAATGAAGGCAAGTACTGAAAGCATGTCAGAAGTCTCCATCAAACTTCTCGGTCAGGAAGAGACTAATTATCAAGGCTGCCAAACTAACCATGAAAGCAAAGATTCACCTTCGTTCAGATAGCTTAGGTACACTGTTCAAACCAATACATTGAACTTTATAAAAACCACAAAAAACAAAGGAATACCTTTGGATGAGATTTTTAAGACCTGCGTGACTTCCTTTAATAGAATCCATATGCAATATACACGGTACTTTCATCGACTTCGTCAGGTCTTCATCTGTAACAAGACAGAAGTTATGACTGATGGGAGACACATATTGCCCCAATGAATGAATAACTTACCGCTATATCTAGCCACTTCACCAGGATGGCATATGACCATTAAGCTCCAATGAAGGCTGTTAGAAATACATTTAAGTTCGAAAAAGATACCCACATCTAGTGATGTTTAGCTTAAGACACAAGGAAAAATGATTCCTGAAGAGAAAAATCTTACTTGAAGTTTATAGGAATGAAGATATAATCCTTTTCAAATAAATCCACTTTCCGTGTCCATTTCCGAACGCGTAGAAAAGCAGCTCTGCCATCTGAAGCACTAGATGGATCTTTATCAAGGTCCGCCAGCTTCCTAAAGAAAAAGCTATTGAAGAAGTGAAATCTATGCTTATCCTGAGGATCTATCTGGCTCTTCAAATACCTGACAATCAATTCCATTTAGAAAGGGCGTGTTCCATCATTTGCAATAAAAGTTAGTTAAAATGAAAACCAGTCATCCAAGCAAGGAGATGGTGAAAATTAAAGAATTGTGGATCAGCACTTCTTTAAATGAGAAGCTGGAAATCCCAACATCACTAGGAGAATGTACAGGGGGGAACCTCTAATAGTAACAGTATTCAATCATGATTACAAGCAATCACTATATAATTTGACTCACTGGATGTAAAAGTCAATGATTGTGTCATTGACAAATGTCTCTGGTTGTAACAAGTCAACATCCCTTTTACTGATGGAAACGGCATCTGGATCTCCTTTGGGATAGACAACTTCTTCAAAAGGCTCATCAAAGCTGCAAAAAGGCTCATTTAAATTGGAAGGGGATAAAAAGATGGTCACCACCAGATAATATACTCAAGTTCATGCATTGATCATCGAATAAAATAGAGCATACTTAACAATTACAAACAGAAGGTGAACAAAGATTGATCCGCATGCATGACATTTCAAATCTCATAGCATAGTAAACATGAGAATTTTTTACTCAAAACTAAAAAAAAAATTAGTTTGAGTACATACAAATAAAATTTCAAATAAACTAACCAAATGTATTAAAATATGAAGACTAACTTTAAAAAACGGAAAAGTAGAAAATTCCACTCACTTGGGAAAATAATGTCTTTGTCCACCTAAATCATCATCATCAGTTCCTATGCCCGCACTACAAGACATAATAGAGGTAGGCAATAAATCAATTAACAAGGGAGACCAATATACGTCAAAGGGAATGACAACAAAGTTTATTGGGAATGCAACCAGTCATGCATGTTACCTTAGAGACATATTTCGGATAGCCGTCTCAACCATAAAATGAAGAATGTAAACTGTGATACTTCTTTAGAATATACCACATAAACTGATGTATTGACGTGATGCCAAGTTTATAACTTCTATTTTAAAAAATTGCATAATGATCAACAATATAGTGATAAGGAAACACAGATAACATACTCGAGAGACATATTCCAAATAGCCATGTATCTGGGATCCAAAGATCTGATTTTTTGTTGTTTCTCAGACCAGTAAGAATCAACAAGAACAATCTTTACTTCCTTAATGCCTGGACCAAGTTCATAGGCAATACATATTAGTTAAGCTAACAAAACGAAAGATATTTATCACATTATTAAGAACACTGATGACATGACACAAGAAAAAACCGATGAGGATGTCTAGAAGAATGCAAATGTTAGCAAAGATATAATTGAAATTCTATCAAATGTTTATGCAACTGAAATCTAGTTCCAAAATCTCGATGTACTTTTGCAGAAGTCAACTGACCAGAAGTGTCACACGAATTATCACATTGACCAGCATCCTTTGATATAACATGGAGCTTGATCATCACATATTCAACCTGCATGCCAAACAAAAAACTGGCAAATCACGACAAAGTTAACTCAAAATCATGAAATTTAGTTTCTAAACAATAGTTATAAGCACTCACTCTTTGAAAGCACTGACACTCAATATCAATGAGATCGTCTACTCTCCATTCAAGGTTAAGGAATTCATTGCTTCCATAATCAGCAAAACCATTAATTTTGATGGCATTAGGTGAAAAGGTTAACGAGGGACTGGCACAGTAAAAATCTCCATATACAATATAATCGGGATATAGGACAACCTCCTTGTTAAGATCATCCTATAAATTGAACGGAGAAAAGCTTCAGTACCCAAATGCATATAGTCTGGACAATGAAATTGGATGACTAGAATCTGCCTATCTTCAAAGGAAAAAAACAAGAAACATGTTCTGCTGAAGTAATCAACGCTACATCCTAAGTTGTACACAGTTTTATTACCCAAAAAAAGGTGAAGTTAGACATATCGGAATTATAATTACAAAAGTAACATGATAAAAACACTCCAGAATACAAGAAGATGCATAACGTTTCACTAATTCAATTCCCTCTTCCTAACCTAACGAGTGTTTTCCCCTTCAAACACAATTTGAGAATAAGAGGAAACTATAGTGTCCTTCAAGATTATAAAAATAAAATAAAATAAAATAAAATAAAAACCTTGACATGGACCAATAATGAAAAATTCGTAGTATGTACAAACAACATGAACATCTTGACAATCTACACTTGTCACAGACAGTTAATAATTAAAAAGTCCTGGATTCCCAGCAAACACAAATGAAAAATTGGATGTAAGTTTCAGGAAAAATTTAAGACGTGTGCGTGAACTTTTTCTCTTTGTTTAAATCATCACAAGGAACAAACTTACCATTTCATTGTCGGATGAGCAATTATCTAAATACTTCCCGTTCAACAAAACTGAAATGAGTCCAAAAACATATGGTCAGACATTGAATTTGAGTAAGTTATGAGAGAGTTCTTTTGAGAACAGGTTTTATTCAGTGCAACTCTTGTAAGTTATATATTAAGCAAATACTTGGAAAAATATATTTGCAGAAGGCTGGTAACCAGGTCGATGATCTGTTATCCAGGTTTTCAAATTGGAGGAAATATAGGTTTTTTCAAATTCCTTTTTCTGGTTGAACTGAGTAATGACCATTCGTACAAAGATTTGAACAGAGAAAAAAATTGAAACTTCTTGTAAAAAGCGGAAGGAGAGTGCCAAGGTGTCAAGACCTTGGTGTCTACTAACAAAGCTATTAGAAACGTGTTCTTACTGTTCAATTCAGTTGATTGGAGGGTTTTTTTTCTTTCTTTCATTCTTTCCTTCTTTCTTACCATCAGTCCCCTTTCATAATCTTTCTTATTGATGCAATTCCTATCTGGGATAGAACAACCAAAAGAATGTTGAAGCAAATACAGTATACAGAACATACCACCATCCTCTACAGTTTCTGAAGGAGGGCTCATTGAAGAATTCCCATTCATGCTTCCATTAGGATCTGAGAGTCCATCAATTGGCTCCCTCTATAAATTGCAAAAAAGTGTTAATCGAACATGACTAATACTCATCTATATCTTAAAAGAAAACAATGTTCAGAAAGCAGAAAGAAGAGTACTTCAGCATTAAACTCAGGAAGGGTGCAATTTAACCCCAGGATAGGACTTTGAGAGCTAGATCCAATTTTGTCAAGTTCAGAGCCAAGGCTTCCTGTCAAATGACCATCTACTTGCACAAACATATCTTGCGAATGGCTATTCAATTCTGATTCTGTATAGGCATCCAATTGATATTTCCCTTCTTCCATGATAAATTGCTCTTTAGTTGTGCCCGAGGGAATATGTGAAATACCATTGTCACAACCACGATTACATTTGCCCAAATCAACATCCATATGTGGATTTTTAATCTCCTTCCCTTCAACAACAAACCCATTGGCCACAGTTAATTTATCTTCATCAAATAAAATGGATGACCATCAACAGAGAGAAAATTTTGAAGGTAGCCAAAAATCAATTACTGCTCTGGAGTAGCATTGTTGAACGGACATTCATCAAACAAAAGACACAATAAGAAAGCAATTCTGGAATGATACTTAGACAAAGACAAGCCATAGTGAGAACTGAATAAAAAGCACAACAGCATAGTAAACATCACAATAATATATGTTTTTCTTTCAGCTATTAAGAATGCAAGATACATGATATATTTAAACATATGCGGAAATAATTACCACATCAATCTTCACTAATTTATAACACCGACATTGCCCTTTGATAAGTTTTTTTCTTTTTCCTTTTTTTTTTTTTTAAGGAAAGATGAAAAAATATTGTTCCAGAAATCCTCTTCAGACGCCGAACCTCCAGAGGAACCGAAGTCATTACTAGCTACCTCTTTTGATAGCGTACAAGTTAGCCGCGGAGTGAAGGGATAAAAATGCACTTTAGAGACCACATATCAATTTAATTCCCTATTGGAAGTAAACGCTTTACAGCAATCAGCGATACTACCACGTAGTGAAACACTCACAGACAGATTAACATGTCGACAGAAATATTAGTTCAATTCGGGTTACCATTCAATAGGTTTCAAATTCGTCTGTATTTGCCAAAAATCGACAACAAAGAACCGCTTAACATTCTACGGACTGCTCCACGATCTACCTAGGGCAAAGAACTAACGGAATCAACACAGCGCACAACTTTCGCTATACATAACTCCAGAAAACTCCCTAAATCATCTATGCCAGAGAAGCGAAACTCTGTTTTCAGTCAAAATTAAGAATTCGTGTCCAACTATCTTCTACAGGTCTTTGCAGAGAAATAAAAAAACGAAAATGAAAAAGTTTCCAGTTCAGGAGAACCTACCACATTCCAGAAATTCATACTTCAAAACAGCGGTTGTGTCGAGATTAGGGTTTTTGAATTTGCTGAGACGCTTCTCGGAGATCAATTCGGGAAGCTCGTCTTCTTCGGTGAAATCGAAAACTTCAAGGCCTTTGACGGAAGCGTTCTTCATGGTGAGGAGAGAGCGGAACGGAAGATCGGTGAGTTCAAACGAGTCGAAGAAACTTAGTGGGTTGACATTCGCAAATCAGAGCGCAAGCTCCGGTGAACAGGGGAGGCGAAGTTTCACTCAAGGCAGATTGTGTCAAAGCTTTGGCCCACTTGGGTTGCTGCAAATGGAACCACTTAGAGTCTAAAGATGAAGCAGCTCAATGTTTGTTCACGCATTTGATTATTTACCGGTCAAAAATACTTTTAAATTTTAAAAGTTTTACTAATATTTAAAATAACAAAAAAAATATTTTTTCAAAATTATCTTTAAACTTAAAAAAATAAATAATAATTAAAAAAAATAGTAATTAAAAAAAAAAACCTTTAATTTCATTTTAATTTTGTCCTCTTTGGACTTCTTGGTGACAATCCACCCCCTTCGAGGCCCCTGGCGTCTGACATTCATTCCTTTCTCCAACCCAACATCCTTATTGATAAATCACATCGTGTCTACTCGGGGTGAAGGCGAGAAGGCTGGCACATCGTCTAGTATCTGACTCTAATACTATTTGTAACGCCACAGATCCACCGTCCTCTTTAAGCTTTCCTTTTCAAGCTTCCCCTCAAAAGTTTTAAAACACGTCTGCTATATAAAGGTTTCACACCTTTATAAATGATGTTTTGTTCTCCTCCCCACCTAATATGAAAACTTGTAGAACAAAAATGAAAAGTTTGAAAAGGATTGAGAGGTAAATAGACCCATTAACATAAATAATATTTTTTTTTTAGAAAGGTTAAAGGGTTGATATTAATTTTAAAATTTTATGGATATTTTTAATTATTATTTTGAGTTAAATGATATTAATTATTTAAAATAATATTGATAATTCAAAGATATTTTTGAAACAAAACCGTTAATAGTAAAAATATTTTTTAATTTAAATTTTATGTTGAAATTTTTGAAAGTTTAAATATATTTTTTGATATGTTAACTTCGAAATTTACGAGTTTTATCCATTTGAATTCTAAATTTTTAATTTAATAAAATTTAACTCAAAATTATTGGATAAGTAATTAAAATTTTATTAGACACTTTTTAGTTCTGGAAGTTATTAAATATTATTAAAGATAAGAACTATAATTTAATTTTAATTAAATATTGAAATGCCACCCACCATTTATTGTTTATTAATTATTTTTTATATCATTAACTTTTGTCCTTTAGTTGTCTTAATATGACTTCAACAATATTAAACACTTTTGATAATATAATAAATTCTTTATTTTTTTAAGGTAAAATCATGATTTTGTTGAATTAAATTTCCATTAAAAATTTTAAATATTAATTTATAGCTTTGTGGTCGCCAATTTATTTAATTTAACCCACAAAATTTACCTTTTTTAAGTAAAAATAAAAAGTTTATAATTGTTTTTTGGAAACGGATAATAATATATTTTCCAGTTGGCGTGGAAATGTGTGCTTTCGTACAAGGCGGCCATGCTGCCCGTTTTCGCTTCAGAGTCCACAACTGCCCGCTGCCCGTCTGACTGACTATATTGTACGACTTTTCTGTATATATAATCTATTTAAAACGTTACAGAAACAAAATCCAGAATTAATAGAAAGGCCCACCCTCATTTTCCAAGCCCAATTTCTCAGAAGCCCATATCCAAAGGTCAGGCCCAGACCACTCTCTCTGGCCCAATCACTCTCAGTCCAGTAATTTTTTTCTCATTTTTATATATATATATATATAATTATTAATTTCAAAGAATATTTTTAATGGATAATTTATATTAAAAAAAATATCAAGCACCCTAATAAATTCAATAATATTTTTTATTAACATTATAAAATTCTAATTTTCTACATTATAAGTGACAAACTTGGGCAATCAAACCTTGGTTCTAGATAGACTAGCAATAAGTTTGGCTAAAGTAAAGAAATGGTCTTTGCCACTTGAGTCTTATGCAGAGTAACTCGCACACGTGCAGTTTTTATGAGGGAGATTTAATAGGAGCCATCTGAAAGGGTCTTTGCGACTTGAGCCGTATGTGGAGTAACTTGCACACATGCAGTTCTTACGAGGAAGAGCTAGTAAGAGTCATCCTATCCCCCTCACACACAGAGATACACGCACAAGTGACGAACATTGGTAATCAAAGTTTGGCTCTAGATAGGCTAGCAGTAAGCTTGGCTAAAGCAAAGAAAGGAACTTTGCCACTTGAGTCGCATGCAGAGTAACTCGCACACATGCATTTCTTACAAGAGAGAGCTAGCAGGAGCCATCTGAAAGGGTGTTTGCCACTTGAGTCATATGCGGAGTAACTCGCACACATGCAGTTCTTACGAGGGAGAGCTAGTAAGAGTCATCCAAAAGGGTCTTTGCCACTTGAGTCGTATGCAGAGTAACTTGTACACGTGCGGTTCTTACAAGGGAGAGCTAGTAGGAGTGTGAATGTTTGATTAATTCACCACACCTAAATGGTGTGAAAGTTATCTTATTTATAATCAAATAAATTACAAGGATATGAAAATAGTAATAAATGGAAATAACAATAAATGGAAAGATACCTATGATAATAAGGCAAATAATAAAATATCAAATATAATATATATGGTAAACTATAATTTATTACTAAATATCCTTAACAAGGAGCCATCCAAAAGGGTCTTTGCCACTTGGGCAGTATGGGGAATAACTTGCACGTGCGATTTTTATGAGGAAGAGCTAATAGGAGCCATCTTATCCCCCCCCGCACGCACATACAGGTGCACACACTTCTTCAACATACTCCCTCACCTTACTCGGAGACAGTCCTCTCTAGTTCAATAATTATCTCTAATTATATATCGTTATTTTTCTAATATTATTTAATTGTACTTTTACAACTTAGGAATGTTAAGTTGGTCAATAATTACACAGCTCTACTAATGACCACGTATAATATCGATACAATATTTTAATATTTTAATTAAATTTAGAATAAATATAGTAGTTATTAGAACACTCACTATTTTCTTATAGAAATATAATATAAATATAAGATGTGAAATGACCTAACTTGAAAGACCATAGCTTAATAAAGAAAACAAAAACTATTCACATTTTTGGTCCCAACAAACAATAACAAAAATAAGGGGGAAAAAAAAAGGAATATATTGGGGAATGGGTAAGAATTAGAATCTTGAAATTAAATAGTTACGAATATTTAAATTTAATTTTTGGGTTTTTGCATATTTTTTAAAATTGAAATGAAATAGTAAAAAGGTAATTTCCTAGGGACCACATAGCAAAGTTTTGGCAGACAAAAATATGGGCACACTGTAAAAAAAGCAAACAAATACACCCTCTGAAACATTTGTATGTATTTAAAAATAAATAAATAAATAACCTTAAATTTTTACTGCTTTATTCAGCACTTTTTGTCCCCATTTTCTTTTTTATCTTCTTCCTTTTTTAACCTTTTAACTTGGATAAAGCAAGAAAATCCCATTTTTCTTGTTTCAGTTTATTTATGTAATAAAAAACTTTGTACTATTAAACTATATATATATATATTATGCTATTCCTCCATCTTTGACCATAAAGGTCGGAGTTCAGATGCTTGATCGTTAGATCTATTCTTTTTATACGATAAAGCGTCTTCTCGTTATATTACCACGACACGTCTCGTTATTTTTCCGAAACTCCCGTATTGACAAAACCAATTGATCTAGTCATAAGAAAGTCTAAGAGAGCTCTAACAAATCTTCAAGAGGCCATGTTTCAGAAACACGAGCTTTCCTCTTCTTCCGTTAGTATAAATTTGGTCGAGATCGACTTCTCATTTCTTCTTCTAGAAAGCTTGATTCTCGAGAATCAAAATCTTAGAAGGTCACCCAACTTTTATAATTATCCTTTGAATTAATATCATTCAGATGGGATATCGAATTATTTACGTATCTCTTATTTACTCAAGCGTCACAATTATCTCGTGCTCGTATAAATTTAAAGAGCCAACAAATTAATTTCCCATCACTCTCCCATTACGCAATCCACGTAGGATGAGTTCGACACGAAAAGAAAATCCCGAAAAATTGTAAAATATTATAATTTCTTTTAATTTCTAACATTTCATTATGTGCCAATAATTTCCAAGTGCAAAAAGGAGCCTTCACAGTCACATGTACGTATACAAATCAATAGTGACAATGCCAATGGCTACCATAAATTGTAGTACAAATGAAGAAAGGGGGCCACAAAAGAAGGCTGATATCATACATACCTATGCATGCATGCATTCATGCATGCACACCGATGTCCGAGTAAATAGTATAAATAGCTTTTACGTGAGTCTTTTCTTTTCATAAATAATTGTATTATTTTCACACACAATCGTGTTCGTTGCTTCATTCTATATCATAATAGCTAATCTTAAAAGAGTTCACAATAATCCTTTTCTCTCGTCCGAACAATGCAAAAATTGAATTGCTTCGTTTTATACCATTCACGTAAACTGGTATGACGACTGATGTGTAAAAATTGGTTATCTAAATGATTTTAATTATATATTTCTACATGATCTGACTCCTCAATTTCATAATTTATTTTAAGATATGGATTCGAATAATCTCGAAAGTTACTTAAACAAAATTTAAAATAAATTTTTTTAAAGTCTAAAGATATAATTAAAATATAACCTATAGTTCAGAAATATTTTGTATAATTATATTGTTTATATAATCATAGATACATACATATTATTATTATATATATACACACATATATATATATATATACACAAGAGAAGGAAGCATGTATGTTTATATTCTCTTCTGAAGGCTCAGACTGCAAAGGGTTCAGAATCAACCTGTTAACGGCTGTCCCAGTTTGTTCTCTGCCATTTGACGTTGATTTCTCACCATCCTTCAATTATATATCATATTAAACCCATTTGTGGGGCCCACCGTCTAAAACAAATATATATATATATATATTTCATTTTATTCTTTTAGATAAAAAACTAAATTAGCCACGTGGGTTTAGAAAAAAAAATTAGTGAATGAGAGAAAATTAAAGCAAAATTATTAGTATTGTTTAATGGAATTGAAATTAAAAAATTTCTGCATTTTAATAAAATAATTAATATTTCATTGATGTTGGGAAGGGACTCATTTATTATTTATTAAACTTTATAATTTAAATTAATTCAGCTACAAATC